ATAAAGGGGTAAATAGGCAAAACTCCTAGGCAGAAGAATTCAAGAAAACTTATTTAGATACTCAAGCCCTCAGCCACAACTCCCCACTCCTAAGTGAAGCCTAAGTGACTTGCTTCCAGAGAGTACAGGATGGAAGGGCTTTAAGTTTACAGTGGAGACACCTGACAAACACACCTCAGCCAGGTGACCAAGGTCAATGACCTTGATAAGTCATGTTGGTAGCATGTACTCTTGATATGCTGGGATGAAAATGGCTAAAACTTTACCTCTGTGGTCTTCCTCCCAAAACCCCAAAACCCCACTCTAATCATGAAGAAAAATATCAGTCATATTCAATAGAGGGACACTCTACAAGATACCTGCCCAGTCCTCCTCAAAACAAGGTCATCAAAGACAAGGAAAGGAAAGTCACAGCCCAGAGGAGCCTAGGGAGACATGATGACTAAATGTCATATGGGGTCTTAGATGGGGTTCTGTGACAGAAAAAGGACATCAGGTGGAAACTAAGGAAGTATGAAAAAGCATGGACTTTAATTAATAATTATGTGTCAACACTGTTCATTAATTGTAACAATTATGCCAAAATAAGATAAAATATTAATCACAGGACAAACTGGATATGGGATATATGGGACAATTCAATAACATAATAGGCTCACAAGCTTTCCCTGCATTTCCCTTGTGTTCCCACTGTCAGACATGCACATGTCTGTACTCTATCTGGACAGAGATCAGGACTATTGATCTAGCATGAAGACAACACAAGACAAGTACACTGAAGTACCTGCCAAATAAAGGGAAATTGATCCTGACTGTATCCACTAGCGGAATGGGCAGAAAGCATGTGCTAACCCAATAGCTGTCTGTCAGACGCCAGGAGCCTGGTTCATCTGCACCAGCAAAGATGCCACATTTGAGACACAGCTGTGATAAATAAACCAACCTGCATCTCTGAGTATCTGGATGGCAGTACTAATATCTGAAACCCTCCATGAATGAGGTGCTACTTCAGCTTTACAACCTTGAGGAGCAATTGTAGAAGCATCCCTTTGACCTTCCCCTAGTAATAAACCTCAAGGAATGAGTTAGGAAATCAAAACTTCTATTTTGCTAGATAATATGTACATCTATTCCCATTATCCATTCTGGGCCTGAAGAACTAACCTATTCTCACATTTTTTTTAATTAAAAAATTTTTTTTTTTTTTAAGATTTTATTTGCGAGAGAGAGAGAATGAGAGAGAGCACATGAGAGGGGGGAGGGTCAGAGGGAGAAGCAGACTCCCTGCCGAGCAGGGAGCCCCATGCGGGACTCGATCCAGGGACTCCAGGATCATGACCTGAGCCGAAGGCAGTCACTTAACCAACTGAGCCACCCAGGCGCCCCTATTCTCACATTTTTATTAGGTGTTTGTAATTTATAATTTTTCTAACTTTCTGTGCATAGCCTTTGCACATTTTATCGGATTTCTACATTTTGCACTTGATTTAGAAGAGCTCTTAAAAATATTAATGATAGTGTCCTTTGTTACTATAATTAAAAACATTTCCCAGTTGGTATTTCTTTCATCTTCCACTATTAGACATTTTAACTTTTTATTTTTCAAATAATCATCATTTTATTTATATTTTTTCTTTGGATGTCATGAATTTCACTTCCTAAGTATATAGAAATATTGGTGTTTTCTTTTAGGATTTTTGTTTTCTTATGTCTAAATTTTTAATCCATCTGGAACTTATTTGGCTCTCTTACTAGAAGAGAGGGCTATAGATTGAATCATCTCTTGCCATAAGTTATATATTTTATTATATTCTTTTTTTTAAAGATTTTATTCATTCATTTGGAAGAGAGAGAGAGAGTGTGCGCACAAGCAGGGGCCGTTGCCGAGGGAGAGGGAGAAGCAGATTCCTCGCTGAGCAGGGAGCCTGATGTGGAGCTCGATCCCAGGATCCTGGGATCATGACCTGAGCCGAAGGCAGAGGCTAAACTGACTGAGCCACCCAGGTGCCCAATATTTTATTATATTCTTGCATCTGTTTATACAGTTCCAAGGACTTCTCTGTCTGTTGCAGAATTTCTCAACATTGGCATTATTCACGTTTTGGGTCAAATAATTCTTCTGGTGGGGGGCCGATCCTGTGTATTTTAAGATGTTTACAGCATCCTTGGTGTCTACTTACTAGTTGCTTTTATCACTCGCTCTTCCACATCCCCAGCAGTGACCCAAAAATGCCTCCAGATATTTCCATATGTCCCTGAGGGGCAAAATCAGCCCTGCTTGGGAACTATTGGTCTCTTATAATGGCAACAGACCATTTCAATTATTTGTACTTATTCATTATTTTAATTGGTACATCTGATCAGAAAATTCTTCATTCTTCATTTACAATATTTGCCTAGCTACTCCTTGCATTATTTTTCAGAGATCCTTTTATTTTTAAGATTTTATTTATTTGAGAGAGAGAGAATGAGCCAGGGGAAGGGGCAGAGGGAGAGGGAGAAGCAGGTGCAGGACTTGATCCCAGGACCCCAGGATCATGACCTGAGCCAAAGGCAGAGGCTTAACCGACTGAGCCACCCAGGTTCCCACACTTTTCAGAGATTCTTTTAGAATTATTTTATTATGAGGCACAGAGAAGTTCCTGATGAAAATTTCACTGGAAATTTCTCTAAATTTTATGGCTGTGTTTAGAGAGATGTGCATCTTTGCATTGAGAAGTCTTCAATCCCACAAAGTTGCTTATGTATCATGAAAATGACACCTCTGTCACTTCATCGGGAAACACTTGTAATTGTTCTTACACAGATCCTGCACGTGGTTAAGCCTGTTCCTCGATATTTTATACATACATACATATGTGTGTATATATCATGAAAATGCAATTTTAGTCCAATAATACATCATCTATTGTAAATATTTAACATTATCTACTAAATTGACTTTTTAACATTTTATTTATTTGAGAGAGTGAGAGAGAGAGAGACCATGAGCAGGGGGAGGGGCAGAGGGAGAAGCAGCCTTCCCGCTGAGCAAGGAGCCCAATATGGGACTCAGTCCCAGGACCCCCGGATCATGACCCGAGCAGAGGGCAGACGCTTCACCAACTGAGCCACCCAGACATCCCTACTAAATTGACTCTTTCATCAGTTCTAACAGTTTTTTTTTTTAAGAATTAACTTTTTAATTTTTTTAAAAAAATTTATTCATTTGAGACACAGAGATACAGAGAGAGAGAGTGCATGAACAGCGGGAGAGGCAGAGGGAGAGGGAGAAGCAGGCTTCCCGCTGAGCCAGGAGCCGGATGTGGGGCTCGATCCCAGGACCCTGGGATCATGACCTGAGCCGAACGCAGACGCTTAACCGACTGAGCCACCCAGGCGCCCCAGTTCTAACACTTTTATAGTTGTTTGAAAACTCTTTAGTTTCCTCAAGAAAGCAAAGCTATCACCTCTAACCTCCACACCTGCTTTGGTCCTATTGTTTATATTGATCATCCCTATGGATGCAGAGGCTTGGGAACCGAGGTGCCGCTACACAGACTGTCCACAAAGCCACCGAGGGAAGGACAAAGAATATAAATGGAACATTGTCAGGAAAAACCCTGATCACATATTAAAATGACAGAAATGAAATCTTAAAGCAGCAAATCAGATTCAGATGTTTTAAGTGTAGTTAATACAAATTTTTTTTAAAGATTTTATTTATTTATTTATTTGAGAGAGAGAGAATGAGAGAGAGCATGAGAGGGGGGAGGGTCAGAGGGAGAAGCAGACTCCCCGCTGAGCAGGGAGCCCGACGTGGGGCTCGATCCCAGGACTCCGGGACCCTGACCTGAGCCGAAGGCAGACGCTTACCCGACTGAGCCACCCAGGCGCCCTAGTTAATACAAATTTTTAAAAACCAACAGATTTGGGGCGCCCTAGTTAATACAAATTTTTAAAAACCAACAGATTTGGGGCGCCCTAGTTAATACAAATTTTTAAAAACCAACAGATTTGGGGCACCCTAGTTAATACAAATTTTTAAAAACCAACAGATTTGAGGCGCCTGGGTGGCTCAATCAGGTAAGCGTCTGCCTTCCACTCAGGTCAGGATCCCGGGGTCCTGGGATCGAGCCCCACGTCGGGCTCCCTGCTCAGCGGGGAGTCTGCTTCTCCCTCTGCTGCTCCCCATGCTTGTGCTCTATCTCTCTCTGACAAACACATAAATCTTTAAAAATAAATAAAAAATTAAAAAATAAAAACCAACAGATTTCGAGATCAAACTAGCACAACTGTTTCCCCTGACAATTCGGCCCTGAAACCAGTTTTCAGGGTAGGCGCTGGTATCCTAGTGGTGGTGGCCCCCAAGGCCGCGGGGCCGACCCCTGACTCCGGAGACCCCGAGCCCTCCCGTCCTGTCCCACTCCGGGCAGCGGGCGCTCCGCGAGGACACCGAGTCAGGACCTCCCGGCCCAGGAGGAAGACGCAGGCGGGGCGCCGCCGGGCGGACAGACGCCGGGCACAAGGCGGCGCGAGCGGCGTCGGTTCCGAGCGCGGATCCCGGGGGAGTCCAGGCAGGGAAAAAGCCGAGGGCCAGAACAGCGTTTCCGCCCAGCTCGGCCACGTGACCTCCGCCCCGCCCGTCACTCAGACTGCGGAGCGGTGCAGACGGGAAAATTGCCCAATCAGAGGCGCTGCGACCAGGGGCAGTGTCGAATCCGGAGCCGCGGGAGAGGGAGCGCCCGGAGCACTGTCCAATCAGCACTGTCCAATCGCGCCCGCGCGGGACGTCGCTCCCCGCGCGCCGCGGGCCCCTGAGCACCTGCCCCGCGCGGCCCCGGCTGTCCGGTGCACGCCGCTCTCACCCGCGCGAGCCGCCGAGGCGCGGGCAGGGCGCCCGGGAGCCTGGATCGGGGCCGCGAGATGGTGAGTGTGCGGGGCCCGGCCGAGATCCGGAGGGGCTGGCTCGAACCGGCTGGAGGCGGCCCGAGGCTCCGCGGTCCCGGGTGTGTCCGCCCCCGGCCGGGGGGTGGGGTCCCGGCGCCCCGTCAGGTCCCTTACGCGGAGAGAGGGTCTGGCACACTGCGTACCTAAGAGACGTTTCATGAGGTGGATGGATTCCGGTGCCCGCGGACTGAGTTTCTCCCATGTGGAAAGCTAGGATTAGGGTCAGCACTTGAAGTCCAAGGACAGAGAATGAGTCGGGATCGCATCGAATCTGTAGATGAATTCGAGGTCGGATTTACATCTTACCGAATTGAGCTTTCCGATCCATGGACTTGGTATGTCTCTGTTTGGATTGAAAAGCAAAACCTCTGTTGGGTTTATTACTGTGCATCCAGTATTGGGCGGATTTAAATGGTATCTTTAAAAATACTGTTACTGGTACATAGAAGTAAATTCATGTTTGAGCATTATTCGTTTAACCGGTGTCTCTGTGAAGTGCAGGTAGAGATTTTAATTACTAACCATCTGTAAATTATTTGAATATTTATATGCAGTATCTTATCTGCACATAATGATAGTTCAGTCTTTTTCTTCTCCTGTCATTTTGCCTTTCATTTCTTGTTCTTTACTGATTTCACCAGGGCTTCCATCCAGTTCAGTGTACAATAAGGAACACTGTGTGTCTTGCCTTCTTGACAAGGGAACTGTTTTTACTACTTCAAATTTTTCACTCAGCATTGCAGTAGGTGTTTTCATGCACCATCTTTCACAATTAGCCATGTCCTTCTAGTTCCAGGGTATTAAATGTTGCTATACGTTCATAATAGTAACATATCGCTCATTGCTTAAGATGTAAGGACATGAATTTTGATTTTTCTATATTTTCTATTAATGGAGTAAAATGTACTAATTAATGGATCAATTTTTAGACATTCTTGCATTCCTGAAACGAGTTTGC